GATTGATCCCTGTACGAACAATCTAATTGTTCAAAAGCTCGAAACTTGTAAAAAGTGCAGATGTATTGTTTTAAGACTTTTTCGTAACATTTTATATCGGCTATGGTGGAATATAGTTGTGAATTAGCATATAGGTATATATGTATTCAAGTTTACATAATTTACAGGCTTAATGTGAAGTTTTTCTTTTTTCATCATTGAAAAGATTGCAATTTTTTTTACACACATGCATGTATCATGTATCATGAGAAGAAGAAAATATTGATATATGTAAAATTTTTATTTTGTACTATACGTTAATAATCGATCTTCCAGTAATAATCATTGTTTTTATTATTAGACAGATAATGAATGCTTCCGATAATATCACGTGTGATGAAATTTGATGACATAGATCATGTATTTACAAACTAATGTATATTTCTGTGAACAGAAAAGAAAAACGGATTTTGAACAACTAAGTACTTCGACCGAAATATTTATGCAATTATGGGAAAAGAAAAATTTCGAAGAAATTTCTCTTATATTGCTTCGAAGTTATGATATAAAACAATGTACCTTTTGCACGAAGAATATCATACGAAAGTATAGTTTCGTAAGCTCTTAGAAACAGCATCGCGTTTCTCAGATGATGAATTGAAATATTTTGTAAAAGCAATTCTGATAATTTAGGATAACATATTACTGCAAAAAAAGAAAGAGATAAATGATGAAAGAAATAAATATAAATAATGATAATCTGTATGTTGTGTTACATTCATACCATTTCTCTGATACATTCTCTTATCATTGAATTTTCCGGGCGTGACCGATATATCGTGTATGACGATAAATTATGAAAAGCTATGTGAAAAGCGCATTAAAATTTTATTTTATTATTTTTCAACATGATGTAACTAAAAACCAAACTAGTGTTGCTTCATAATTTAAAATTAAAAAATTTACAGGGACAAATAACACAGTGAAGATAATTGGCCAATAGAATCTCTTTTTATATTAGCACAATAATAACTGGAATAGCTATTTAAAATACAATAATCGATAATGATTAATTAACATGAATTATGACGTTACGGATAACAATCATTTGGAACAGCAATCGAGGTAATAAAGAAATCGGGTAAAGAACACAGTAAGTACATTTATTTCTTAAATAGCTGCTTAGCTACATTCATAGGTTCTCATTTATAAATTTCTCCGTCCAATATTATATTTTTGAAAAAATAATTCCAAATCGAAATGATTGTATTCGATTCGATTGTAAATATCAAAACGATCCATTCACCACTTTTGCGGCTAAGTTTTAATCTTATACTGTATCATGTTTCATATTTATCGAATGAACAACGCATTATTAAAGATTACATATTTAATTTTATTCGCATATTCGATTATGCCTCCGTCCACACGATGATTTTGCGTCGAATTATAGCGAACATAAAATTATGTTCGCTATAAGCAGAATTAAAATTTAATCTGATTTAATTTTGGGTTTCTAATTACTTAATTTATTGTATTCATTGAATCGATCTATTTTTAATAAAATTTCCCTGAAAATTATAAATTTAGCATATTTAAGGAGCAAATCCGATTAATACAATCGATCCAACGCGGCAGAATAATCCACCCTGATTAAAAGCATTACAGTTTCAGCTCTACAATCTTGTTAGTTAAATAATAAGATAATATTTACCATCGTTTTATAAACGCTATGAATGCAGCTTCGGCGACAAGAAACTATCAATGATTCACAGCGACACAATTGAAACGGACAAGACGATATCTTTCACGATATTGCCGTTCGGGGATTCGATATGATTAGAATTGGAACGACAAGAAACCGAGGGATAGAAACAATCTCGGGGGACGAAATGCTGGCCTTTTTATTTAATCGAAAAGCTAAGAGGGCCACTCAGTCGAACCGCAGCTTTATAGGCTTTTGCGTTCCAAATTGTTTCAAGCGTTGATTGCGATGGTATAAATACATCTTCCCGCGATGGAATTCTTGCCGCAGATATCTCCATACGTTTGCTGCGCACAATGTGAAAAATCCGATCTTGCCCGTCGTTGAAGAGGCGGTCGTGCAGCCCTTTCTCTTCAAAGGCTTCTTTTTCCTCCCCTCCTTCACTTCTATTCTACGTAAAAACGCTAAATAATTTAGTCAACCACTCGTTAACTCGAAAATTAACAACGGTCATTCTACAAGTCGAGGAAACGGCATATTACTTCTCCTTCTTGCTCCGCTGCCTCTCTTTCTACTCTTCTTTACAAGTTCAATGATACAGCCGTCGAAATAACATTGAAAATCGACAGACGAAAATATTCCGTGAATGCTCCGGATATACGAGAATCGGCAACAACAAGTACACATACATAACTTTAAGTATATTAGGCCAGATGATATCGACAATGTCTCACCGATATATTACGCGTAACGTTCTACGTTCATCGTCTCAACATTTTCCCCAAAACACTTGTTTTTTACCACACCTTGTGTATCACAACCCAAGTAGCACACAACGCCTACAAAGCGTTAAGAAAGGACTAAAGTGTATATAAGCGGTTTTTTAACGCTTTGCAGGCGCTGCTGTGCTACTTGGGAATCTATATACTACGTATCCAATTATCATTGACAGCGAGAGCTTTGATTTCTCGTCGGCTTACAATTTCGCTGAGCGTACGATTTTATCATCGCCCATGATCTACGATATTATACGAACTGTTTAAAAGGCCTCGGACCTGAAAGAGCATTCTTCAAAAGAACTCGATATACGGATCGCATCCGTTGATGTAACAGGTGTCTTATTTAACTCTGTAGTGACATAAGATCATAAAAGACTCCGTCTGCGGACCCAGCGTGGTTAAACGTTTTACAGGGAGAAAATAGCTGAATATGTATATTAAATTCTAACATATTACCGTAAACTGGTATGAACTGGTTTTCTGTCAAGACGAATTAAACTCTCCATAAAGAGATCGCACTCACCATATATTATTAGTATATGATTTTTAGAAATCTCAATTGCAAGATTTAGCATATCCAATTTAATTTAAATTTTTAATTTAACTCTATCACGGGAAGAGCAACGTGTAAGAAATAGAAGCACAATACATATGTATGTATCTATCGGAAGTAGTTCTTTGTACTCGCGTGTGGAATACTCATATAATGGCTAAGATCCATTTGTGGATCATTGGAAGATTGATATACATTTACTTTACTTTGACTTACACGTACAACTAAAACCATCCGAATTAGTCATCCCCTAGCATCATCTAACGCGGAATGACCTAATTTAGAATCTGTCATTATAAAGGATTTACCTAGTAATTTCATTTTGGAAGAAATTATGCCTGTGTGTACGTCGTGAGGTAATTGAACTACTTGCCACCTAATTGTAATTTATTCGCGTTTTCGTAATCAAGACTTGTACCGCGCAAGAAAACTGTAAACCGCGAGAGATTCCTTAACTCTTTTGTCCACGACAATTTGCCAAACGAATTCGCACAACGGATAAACATCGAAGGAAGATAAATATGTATTAAATCAGAGACGGAGATGACAGATGAGATTGAAATCATGACATTATGATAATGATAGAACATTATTCGCTGTTATGTCTCTCGCATTCTTAGGAAGGAGGCGAGGCGCATCAGCATAAATCAGCCTCAACGAGAATCCGTAATCACTAGAAATGCATCTTAGATCTAGATAAGAATCTTACGAACAATGAATTTTTATTATTAATTTATTTTTTTAATTCTTTAATTATTATTATTAGATTATCGAAGAACGTGAAGATCGGTAACAGTTAATAGAGGAAGTAAATACTTTTGTCCCTGTTTTAGTATTGTTTTCCTTCACTTCTTTTTTTCTTAATTTTCACTTCGTCTCTCACAACCTATAGTTTTCTTGGGAACAGGATTGAAAAAATTCTCTATGTATTCACAATAAGGCCGAATGGAGCTATTGATATCTGTCAACAAATTCGATTTCTATAGCGATTCAAATTGACTTTATCGTAAATATAGATTTTGGATTGTGATATTGATTTTGGAAGGCTCTAAGAGCGGATGAAAGGTTCAAACGATGTAATAACATTTTGTAAAATTTCCGAAATACTAACTTGGGACTTTCTTCTACATGTTATTCAAATTTTCACTTTAATTCTCATGACTCGGGCACCGTCGTTACTATCACACGCTCAGAAAGAAGATCACGATTTTCTTTTTAACATAAATTATGTACTAATATTTTCGTAAACGCGCCGATTATTGCACGTCGCGTATTCGCTATAACGTTGACTATTATAAACAGATTAAATACCAAAAGAAATTCTGCCACACACGTACGTACATATGCACGCAACACAGTCATACGTACACACATAAGACGAAAAACATCATACGAAATGAATTATACGAATGCGCTACAAGTGTTCGAATCTCGTAAACGTAGAGTGAACGTTTAGTGTATCGATATTCTCGATATCTACGATATTTCCGATATCGAGGCACGATAAGCCGAATATATTGCCTTAGTTACGCCATACAATTACCCGTTGTAATCTCAACCATTTCACTTTCAGAAGGTAAAAGAAATAATTCGAGAAGAAACGATGAAATGAAGATAAAGTGTTTCGCGCGTCACGCCTCGTCACGCTCGCAATTAAATCACAGACAGACGGTATGGTACGGTACGACGATGATAAATTAAAAATACATGTTGTACCAATTGATATTATGCTATGGTCGGTATAACATAAGAAACACTATATTTGCTTTCTCCGAGTAAGGACATGCGAATGTACAAGCGTATGCGCGGCATTGCGACTGTTTCACTCACCCGATTAATCGGCTCGATTAATCGTTCGTTGATCAATGAACTAAATCTTTCATCAATATCCTAGTATTTTTATATCATCGGCAATTCAAGCGGCGATGAAGTGGCGATGATTGTTAAAAGCACGCTTTCTTCATATCAATTCCGTTATTGTTCGTTTTCTGTGCCATTCTATTCTTTTTTCAGTTCATAACGCGTATCCGCTATTGCGATTCTGGCAACAGCATGCCTGATGAAAAGAAAGGGAAGTAACATTCGATTGTCAGCGCATTAAGAGACTGGCGATACGATAAAAGACGAATTTAACAATTACCAGTCGACTACATAGCGTTCTCTTGATGATTTTTTTGGAACAATAGAGTTTCCTCAAAAATATATTGTTTTAATATTTCTTTTGGAAGATCATCCAACTCCATGTCAAACTTAAACGGTTCTTCTGCCACAGGCTGAAATTTACGAGTACAATATTACTTGTAATTACAATTAACATTCGTGACTGCAATTTTACTGCATATAGAAATATACCTCATCGGTAGGGTCATAATATTGCTCCAAATAGGGATGCGTCAACGCATCTTCCACCACGATACGCTTATTAGGATTGAACGTCAACATTTTGTCTAGGAGGTCCAAGGCTCTTGGATCGGCATTGGGGAAAAGACTCGTCCACGGTACCTTTGGTTTATATGGCAACGATTGGAGATAATTCCGTGCCTAAAATCATTATGCTTTAATATCACTATGTTATAAATGTAACATGCGAGTCGGCGAGCGTATAAAGTGCAGCAATACAAGATGCACATATATTCTTGGATTAGATTCTATGAGATGTAAAAAAAAGAGATAAATGTAAGCATCCAGTACTTTCTCATTTATGATGCACTCGAGATCCTCCGGCGAGGGCGATCCGAGAACACCGAGAATGTGATTCAACTGATCTAGATAGTGTTTGCCGGGGAATATTGCTCGTCTCGAGAGCATCTCCGCCAGAATGCAGCCTACCGACCAAATGTCTATGGATTTGGTATAACCCTGTGTCAAGAAAACTATGTTAGAGCCACGTAGACGCGTGAAATGTGCACGGTCCTCATTCCTCGAATGTGTTTTTACTTGTGAGACGAATACCTTGGAATTAAGCATGATTTCCGGAGCTCTGTACCACCTCGTGGCCACATATTCCGTGAGGAAACCCGCGTGATTGTGCTCCGGATCCGCGACTCTCGCTAGACCGAAATCGCAGATCTTAAGGTCACAGGTGGTATTCAACAGCAGATTACTCGGCTTCAGATCTCTATGTAACACGTTCGCCGAGTGTATATACTTCAACCCCCGCAATATTTGGTACAGAAAATAACATGTGTGGTCGTTACTAATAGCCTGCAAGACGAGAATTTTATTTGGACGTTTCATTAAATTTGCATTGTTTTTTTTTCCTCTTTAACCTTTAACATAAGTCTACAGAATGCATGCCAATACTTACTTGTGTCTTTAGTAATTTATAGAGATCAGTTTCCATCAGACATTGAACGATATATACGTCTTTCATTTGCTCCATAGTCGGCGCTCTTAATATATCCCTTATATCTATTATCTATTGCGAGAGAGAACGCGATATATTAATAACGATACTTTGTAAAAGGTATGCTTAGCGTAAACTGTTGGGGCGTCCAACTTACGTTCTCGTGCTTAAACCTTGTGAGAATTTTTATTTCTCTTAAGGTTCTCTGACTATACGTTTGATGTTCGAAAGGCGATATTTTTTTTATGGCTACTTTCGTTTTGGTGAGGTTGTCGTAGGCAGATCTGCAAGAAAACATTATAAAGGTACACCTAGCCACATTTATTATTCAACGGAGATCTCTTTGGTCCGCGTTGCTGCTCCAGGCGCCTCATAATTCTCGAATTATCCTACAGTACATCTTGGGTCATATGAATAAAATAAAGTTTTTTTCAGCAAACAGTAAAAAGTAGAAGAGCAAATATTTGTTTCAAAATAAAAGTGCAGGATAAAAACAATGCAATTTGCACGAGTAATCCTTTGCTACAAAGGCAATAGAGACTCCACACTCCTACATCTTTTATTCGCAATTTATTTCATACACTCATGATTTAATAATTGCAACAATTTTTTCACGTACTTGCGAATCCAAAATTTATTTCTTGAAAGAAGATTAATAAAGATAGGAAGATTAATAAAAATAATAAAATAACAGATAAAAAGAAAAAATTCCTTTGTAAGTATAAAGAAATATCTTTGAAATAAGAAGAATAAGCAATTTATTTTAAAATAAAATAAATCGGAGAAAATTTTGATAAATAAAAAGACGGTTTTTATTTCGTCATATTTTTCAGTTTTTAAACTTTTTTTTATATACATATATTCGTTTCGTATTTTATTCGCGATGGATCGCATAAAAGCGTAAAAAAATATTTATATATTATACAATATATACATAAAATTGATATATTTATAAATGATATAAAGTATATTACAATTATATAGATAATTATATATATAATATAAATTGTATGTATATATTTATATTATTGAATATGTTAAAACAAATATATTCGATGGCAAGAGAAAACATGCAAGAAATATACATTTTCCCAAGTAGAAAATTAAATTATATATGTAAATGAAATTTTCTTCTATTCATATATCCCCATAAACTTGCTTCACGACAAAAGCGAATGCCTTTATCTGTCTGTTCGTCAGAGCGCAAGCACAAATAATCTAATATCTTTATTTATATTTTTCAGAACACATTCCCTTTCGGTGACTAGAGACTGGAGACTGGAGCAGTCGCTTTATTCATTCGGCGCATTTGTTTTATCTTTTCTGCTATCGTCTGGAAAGCTTGACCTAACTCAGTGTGAGTTTATCCATAGAGAAACTTGTGTCTTTGACGATATCGCGGTAGTAGGATGTGGTTCGCGCGCGATACAAGATTCTTAGCGATAAATCAAATTCACTCGATTTTATACGATGTGTCCAGATGTGTTACATGTTACATCAGAAGCCGCGACTGGAAGTTCCGATTGATCGAAACGACTACATCGTTAGATATCAATTAAGGAACAATGGTAATCCAATCAATCCCTTGAAATAACATTTTATTATTTTTAATTTCACGTATATAAATATGTGTAAATCAATCCATTTCTGCGGTTTTCAAAGTAAATATCGTCTGTATTTACGTTTATGTATTTAGAAAATAACATTTTATTTACTTTTTAATTTCACGTCTATCAAAATGTAAATCAATTTCTGTACTTTCAAAATAAACATCGTCCATATTGACGTATGCATTTAGTAAATAACAAATTAAATTTAAATCAAATTTAATATATTTTCTTGAGTTAAATTATTTAATTCCATTGTTTTAGTCTCTCTCTCTCTCTCTCTCTCTCTCTCTCTCTCTCTCTCTCTCTCTCAAATTAACGATATATTGGATATGCAGAGCAGTGGCTATCTAAAGAAATTATTAAAAATAACTCAAATTAGGTATACCTGAGAGATGGGCTCGATATATTGTACTTTTGGATAAATCTATTAAAACTCTAATCTTTATTTAATCTTATCCATTGCGATAGATAACAGAATATGGAGACATCAAAAAGAGTAATTAAATAAGTGAAAAATGCAATAAATAATTTTCTTTGTTATAACACTGTTAAATTCATAACTCAAATTATATCCAATTTGAATTATTTTTAATAATTTTTATAAGTCATCATTGACTCAATATGTCGTTAATTTATCTAAAACAAAGGAAATTGTTTAACTCAAAAAAATGTATTAAATTTAATTCAAGTTTAATTTATTATTTACCAAGTACCATATGTTAATATGAACGTTGTTTACATTGAAACTAATCATAGAAATGGATTGATTTACATTTCGACACACATAAAAGTTAAAAACAACAGAATGTTATTTACAGCTTAAGAGATCGAATTATCATTGTTCTTTTGATATCGAATAGTGAAGTAGCGTTATCTTTTTAGAAAGATTTTATTACCGATAAATAATATTAAAATTATACAAGGATTATTAAAATGGTGCCTTGAAAATTTATATTCATTTCATTAAAACAAGAAGATTAAAAGGAGAGATTAAGATAAGAAAAGCTCGAAGGATCAGGATACATCAAAGGCAACGCGAGTTAGAGGAAATCCCTTTTTAGTCGCGTATAAGTCGAGGCTCCGATATTTTTATTCGACATCAATATTATCAACGCAACATCATAATTATAGAAAAATCAATTCCGAATTTCTCAAAGAATCTACCGTCAGATAGCGTCGGGATTATTTAAACTCGCGAAACGGAATTCTCTCCGAAATATCTTTTGGCGCGCAAAGATATTCCGTCGCTTCGCTTTCAATCTCAGTTCTGTTCTTGCGTAAGGAAACGTTACAATAACAAAATATACAACAGCAATAGAAAATATAACGAGAGATGCGAGGATAATTCCAGCGGAAAGCGCGCGAACGGTTCACCTTCTACGTAATTTAGCACGAATTCGTCGCGATGTAATTCGTGCTAAATCATAATCATATGTTAAATAGCAATACTTAGATGATAAAAACGATAAGATAAGATTAGTAATTCGCGAAAGTGAATTTTCATCTGATTAGCATGACGTATGGATGAACGCAAGAAGATAAAACGGGAGGAGATGGAAAAAGAAGAGGAAGAGAGAAAGAAAGGGGATAAGGAAATGTAGAAAAGACATGAATGGGAAAAATACGGTGAAAGGGGCGTGACGTGCGTTTGAAAGCGATGTAGAACGTGTGGAAGCATGATGCGTGCGTGTGTGCGTACGTCATGCGTGCGCGCGCGTGTGTACATAGGAGCGCGAGCGGCGAGCGGCGCGCGAACGTCGACGCGTACTCCGATCCGGCGGCTTTTGTCCGGAAGGGGGCTTTTGTCCTCGGGACGTGCTGGGACGTGCGATTCGAGGACACGGCTCTCATCTCGACGACTGTCGGCGATCGCGAGCCGCGGATCACTGTCTCCGTTCGCGTCGCCGCTCTCAAATGTTTATTGTCAGTCGACCTGTCAGATCGGAGGATCGGCCGGCCGCGACGGCGCGGCCGATCGAGCTGCCGATCGAGCGGTCGTGACACGATCAACACTTACACGACCATGCCGTAGGCGCCCTCGCCCATGTATGACAGATTCGTGTAGCGCGGCCCGACCTCGAACGTTTGCCCGCGCACCACCTCGCAATTCGGATTCACGCTCGCGGAACCCTCGCACGCCGCCATTTTGACAACTACTTTGCGGCACGGTGCGTCCTGCCTGGAGTTGTGGACTGTGGCTCGGCGAAACGATCCCCGCGCGATAAACTCTCGCCGAGAGAGCGACGCGCAACGACGCCGCGTCACTGACGCGATACTTGACGCCGCCGCGCTCTTCGGTCTTCCACCAGCCACGGCTATCCGCGCCCCGCGCCTTGGGTGGGCGCGGCGTGGGAAATGTAAAAGGCGGATAAAAACGAGCGCTCGCAACGCCCCTGTCGCGCGAAGGTGTAAGCAGCGATTAATCCCGCGGCCGGCGGCACCCGGATCCCGGACGATGACGATCCGAGTCCGATCCGCGAATGCTCCAAAGAGAGACAAAGACGCGGAATCTGTATTCTGTACACGTTCAAACTTAAGAAAGAGAGAGAAAGCGCGTGATTTCTTTGAAGTGACATAACATGAGGTTTTCTTTCTCTCTCTTTCTCTCCCTCTCCTCTCACTCTTTTATTCTTTATTCTCTCTCTCTCTCTCTCTCTCACCCTCTTTTCCATCTCTTTGTCTCAATATTAGGCACATGATATATGCCACTCTTCCTAGAAAATTGAAACAAGTTTTCCTTGATAGAAACACAAGTTATTATTATATATTGAATGAATAAACTGTAATAAATAACTGTTAAGATGTTATGCCTACTATTATCCTTGCCGTTCTTTTCACGTTTTCCATGCCTTTTTCGATTATATTAGGGTATCACAGAACATCGATAAGAGACGAAGCCATTGACAAATATTTGAACTCGTTCGAATGACGTCATGGCAAATTTGGCTGCTATCGAATCGTCGTATCGATTTGTTGCAATCGATTGTCGACTCGCAGTGACAGCTGGAGACGCAGAAGATGGTCATCAACAGTGATTACGGCAGTGTGTCAACCGGTGATTTATTTTATTATCGATATTTCAATAGCAATTAGTTCAGGAGTGTTATTAATAATTAACGAAACGAAATGAACGCACCTCCGACCTTCGAGTCATTCTTATTATACGAGGGAGAGAAAAAGTACGCTGATCTTTGATATTTATCGGGATCTAACCTCGATTTAGGTTCTAGAAACGATGTACGTTAATATTTGCGCTTTTTGTAGGATTATAAAGGAACAGGACACCAAAGTACCAAATGCTGCGATTTTTACGATTAACAAGGAGGATCACACGTTGGGAAACATGATCCGCAAGTGAGTAAATGTACGAGTGCATTACTTTGGTTCCTTTTTAGACAGCTAGCTAATTTTGTTAATTTCTTTCGGTTCTACAGTCAATTACTGAAGGATCCTCAAGTATTATTCGCTGGCTACAAAGTTCCTCATCCCCTGGAACACAAGTTTGTTATTAGAATACAGACAACCTCCGATTATACTCCACACGAAGCGTTTATGCATGCCATCACCGATTTGATCGCAGAACTCTCGTTGTTCGAAGAACGTTTTAAGGTACACTCTTTGACTCTTATATAAGATGTAAAGTTATAATATATGTATATGCATAATTGAAAGTACTTCTTTTTTAAGGAAGCAATAAAAGAGAAGAAAGAAGGCTTGGATTAAACAGTTGAGTCTACACATTTTATAGTTATATCTTTTTATATCTAGATTTTGATTTAGTCTATTAAAATGTATGTGTATTGAATATCACAGACATATAACAAACACAATCATGTAAATAATTACATCATGAAGGATTAGATTGAATCGAAGCAGAATGTTAAGAGGCTGGGAATTAGCTTAAACATGTTCGACTACTCTGTATGCCTTGTATTTGAGCATATTCCATTTTTGTAAATATTTAAAATACTTAAATAACTGTGAATAAATTTGTGTATCAAGTTGCATTCTACATCTTCAATTAATTATATTTGTATGTATGTCCTATAGACACAAATTTATGTGAGTATGAAATTGATTTTATTAAGGAAAACTTTTATTTATTATATTTTTCATCAGTAAGGGAAACTGAATATCCTGAGTGATATGAATTGTAAGGAAGGTATGCCTTAACATCTAGTACTATTAATAAAAAGATTCGCCTCTGCTGATAATATTGCCAGATACTGCATATATGATACAAATGTACAAATTGAATTCGAGTAATGACATTTTTTATTATATCATTTAATATACATAAAAAACTACAATAAAACAATTGCATTAATCATAATTACCATTTCTTTATAATTATCATACACACAATAACATATTTATGGTTATGATTTAGATATTAAAATACTAGTACGCAAAATGAATGATTGCGTTTTATAATTAAAGTTGTAGGAAGTTGAAGAATAGTTCATTTTATTTCTTCCACAAAATGTGGATCTTGATTAAAATCTATCAACCATTTAGATGCAGTATTAGTGGTCGGTAAAGTAATAAGTTTCTTCAAAATTTTATATACTTTAGGACTATGATAATATACAGCTGCGGCAAATTGCCTCATATATTCACTATAAGTTTTCTTAGTAATACCAGTCTCATTATTTGCAAATTCATGCAAAAATAATTCTTTCCTTTCCTCACAGATGTACTTGTTAATAGCATCTTTTATCATTTTCATACTATCACTTTTTTCTTCAGTTTTTTTCTTTTTCAGACATTCCTCCAAGTCCTTAATTTTGTCATCACGTTGTTTCAAGCGTTTTCTCAAACTTTGTATAATTTTTTCTGATTCATCATAGCTCCGTTTTAATGTTTGCACACCAATTTCTCTTTTTAAAGTACATGACAAATTTGCTTTTTCCTGTATAAGATAATTATGTTTTTATATAATTAAATTATAATTATATTTTTAAAATATAACTATCCATTTAATTTATAGCATAATAAATCTTTACTATATAATTACCATTTTAAGATTTTCATTACTAATATCAAGCGGATCAACTTCGATGTTTAACATATTTGGCAAGATCTCTTTTTCCTAATAAAAATTCTTTTGTAAATAATTTATATTACATAAACTTATTATTAAAATAGATTTAATATGATAAATTTATAAAATTTACTTACTAATTCAACTAATTGATACTGAGATCCTTTAGACTGGCACTCTTCAAATATTGTTGGAACAGCATCCTTATTTAACATATTTCGTATAGATTTAAATGTAGTAGATTCACTAAAACATTCTGCTGCAAAATGTTTACTGCATATTCTAGAATGTTGAGTAATATCTGAAGTCCTTAAAATATTAGATGGAATTGCTGAAATCCATTGTTTGCGTAAAGTTTCAACTTTAGGAAAACTAAAAATAAAGTACATGAAAGAGAAAAATAAACATTTTACATTTTTTACAATACTTCCTATACCTTAATTATACATTTTTTTTTAACTTAATAACAATATACACATACGTTTTAGTTAATTTTACTTATATTTACCAATGAAAAGTAATAATGTCGCCTTTTATCCATAAACTTTTACAGTTACTAATACAGCAAGTAACAACCATTTTTTTATTTTTATTTTTTTTAAATATCAAGCAATATAATGTAAAGGTAGTATTTTTTTTAATTTTTCCTCCAATTGGAGGAAGTGTAATGTATCTTCTACGGTTTCGCGTATTTCAACAAACACAGTCTCCTTTTCTTTTTTAGGTTAAAACCATTGACATCAAAAGGTCTAGACGTTACACTAATGTAATTCACTTTGGTAAAGGTCTAATAGAGGGTAATCAAAAATCGATGGAATTATAGTCATTCGACGCGTTTTTGCATAAAACGAAAAAATCTGGCAGAAAAAAGCGTCGCTCTGCCCCGCGAACCGAGATATTAAACGTTAAAGTTCACAACTATTCAGATTAGGATATCTGTCATACCGACATGTTTATTTTAAAGAATGTTAGATTCATAAAAAAAAAAAAACACAAAAATATTGTCTAAAAACACAAAAAGTCATTGCTTTAAAAACACAAAGTTACTACCTAAAAATACAAAAAGTCACTGCTTTAAAAACACAAAGCTTGCTTTCCAGCAAGGACACAGTCAGATACTGTGTAACACAGTGAGTCGTTTCATCCTTGTTTAATGTTGACCAACAACAAGGATAAAACGACTCACTTACACAGTGTCTGACTATGTCTTTGCTGGAAAGCAAGCAAAAGTATTGTCTAAAAACAGAAAAAGTCACTGCTTTAAAAACACAAAAGTACAGTCTAAAAACACAAAAAGTCACTTCTATAAAAACACAAAGGTACAGTCTATAAAAACACAAAAAGTTACTGCTTTAAAAACACAAAGGTACTGTCTAAAAATACAAAAAGTCACTGCTTTAAAAACACAAAAATGACTTTT